TACGACATAATTAAAAGGAAGCATTTAAATTACTACAAAATATGAATTTTTAAACCATATTTTATGACACTTATTTCACTTTAATATATATTAATCTTTTTATGTAAGGTTTTGGGTCGAAATGAAAAAGTTAGTGTCACGAGCGGGATTCGAACCGAAGACGAAGATCTTAGGTTCGAATCCCGCTCGTAACACTAACTTTTTCATTTCGACCCAAAACCTTACATAAAAAGATTAATTAATTGAAAGAAGTTATTTGGTCAATAGACCACTAAATATAATGGATTTATTATATATTTTCTTAAGCTGTTTTGCCAAAAAGAGTGTGTGTTTTTTTTTGGGGGGGGGATAAGGCTAAATCAATTGTTTGAGGAGTAGTTCAATTTTTAAAATCTCTGAAAATTAATTATTATGTAATATTAAACACATGTTAAATTTCTTAGCAACGTCCTGTATATCATTTATGTTGCTGGTTTACATCCCAAGTGTACCATTACAACCTTTGCTTTGTCCTCTAACCCGATTCAAGCAATCTCCAACTTCCAAGATTCAGCTTACCAAAAGAGAATAGAGAAAGTGAGATAGAAGGACGAGAAAGAAAGAAGGAGAAAGAGACATCAAAGACTGGTACAAAAAGTAGAAGACAAGACTGCCTAAGCGAAAAAGGTGCCCAATTGTTCGTTAACATTGAAAAAGTCTTGCCCTGCAATTGTACATCAAAAAAACTTCCACTCTAGTCAGAGTGGAATACCCCTCCATTGGAATACCCACCCGAGTCTTAAGACAACTGAAAATAAGAATCGATCAACTGCGAATACACCTAATGGGGGTGAGACCACGCAAGTGCCCGTTGTATAGAGAACTTATCTCGCTAGAGCACATAGTAACAGACTGCAAAGAACTAAGTCTCAAATGAAAGAAATACCACATTCCGAATTACCGAAGGTAAAAAAAACTGATCCAACATCTCCGGGCCATGAATAAGAAATATTTAATTGTATATAGATCTTTGTATTTCATGTGTATGTATGTGTTATTTGTTGGGACGAATTTATAAGCGTGAATAGAGGGCTTATCTCCAATTAACCTGTAGATCGTCGAGTATCAGTGATAGTGGAAATGAACGGGTGAATGTAATTTATTAGCGTGAATGGAAGAATTTATCCCCAATTACCCCGAAGAATATCGAGTAGTATGGGGTAGAATGATGCTAACCAGACTACCATATTTTATCTTGGTTTTGTCTATGTGCTTGTTATTTGTCTTATTTTATTCATAAATGTCTAGGCCCTGAAGTACCGAAAGGCTAACAATAGGATAAAGAAAAGAGTTGGTTAGCGTTCATTATAACTTGGCTGGAGAAACATTAAAAGGAATTAAAAGGATTACAACGCGAGAAACACAGAAAAAGAATTGAAATCTTAGGACCGAAATCTATTTTGTTAGGCTAAAACTCAAAACCATTACATTATTGCGGCCATTTTGGACATACAGGATTCCGCCGAGAGGCAATTAAAATTTGATCCAAAACTGTAACCAATATCTTTACGAGGGGGAAGGAGAAGTAAAATAAATTAACTGTCCATTTTTGGGCAACACTGCGAGCAACACCGATTCCGAAAGTGAGGTTGTTTAGGGCGTTAATTTGTTTATTTATTTTGGGTAATTTCCTCTATTCCTGAGCGGTTTTATTTAGTGGAGTCTGACAATCTTGTAGCAGGGCATGTTCTCCTGTTTTTTTAATATATAGTTATTTTTATACATGTGTACTGGTTACAAATAATAAATTAATACAAACAATATCAAAAATATTAGGCTTATATTAGTCAAATAACAAAAAACTGATATGGATAAAATGCTAGGGCTATGTAATAATCTAGTTTTGACTGCCAAAGAAAAATTCGGAGAAACACTCTTTTACATCATCGAATATAAAAAGGACAGATCAGTCTGTAAAAGAGCTGGGTTAGGGTTATCCCAATAAAACAACCAACAATTGTTGCTTTCACAAAAAAGAAAAATAGATCTCGTAGACAAATAAAACTCAATTATATTTTGAAAAATATGAAAAGCGAAGCCAGATACCTGGGCATCACGCTAGATAAAACCCCGGGATTCAAGGAAATATTGACTCCACAAGAAACCGACCCTCAATAAAGGGTCCCAATCCAACCTAATAAAGGGACATTACTGCAGGTCTTAAGGGATGACATGAACAGGATGTTTGAATAAAGACAATATTTTCGGACCTAAGTACAAAAAAGAATGGAAAAGAGGTAAAGACCCCTCTGTTGAGAACGCCACCTACAATGAATGATGGATTTAAAACACAAGAAGGTACCCGGAGCAGGAGTGATCGGTCCTGGAACCAAGTACTCAGAACACATGGGAAAGTACACCAGAATTTAGTTAAGCTCAAAAATCACCAGCTCAGAGATGGTGCTGAATTGCAGAACCAAATTAAATAAATTAGTATTTTAATAACTTTTACTCTGTGTCCCAGGGCATATAGGAGTAGAGGCAACGAGACAGCAGACGTCCTTGCAACGGAAGGGGCTACCAAGCCTATTATAAGTTCCGAGCTTTTCTGTGGCGTAGGATTCAAACTATCAATGAGTACCTCAGACAAAAGGATAAAATGAAAATGAGATGGAAATCACTCATTGGAGACACACAATACAAGAACCTCTCAGCAAGATTTGGAAGGAAAGAAGCAACAGAAATAAAGGGAAAAGGAGCCTAACAGGATTCTTAACATCCTGATAGCCACAACTACCGTGAATGGGCTTTTGAAAAAGACTGACATAATCCAACACGTGCAAATTCTGCAAGGAAGCAGAAGATGAACCAACATATCTTCCAACAAACTGTGGAACGCTTGCATGCAAGAGGAAGTGCTTTGGGATGCAGAACTAACCATAGAAGAAATTCAACCATTGTAACCAGAACTAATAATCAACTTTCTTGAGGAACTAGGATTGAACATCGAAATCAAACCTGCGTCCTTCCATTTGCCAACTGTCTCTTTTTTTCTAAGAGTTTCTACAATTTCATTATAGACTTATATCTCCCACACTTAAATTTAATCGAAAAGTAAATACTTCTATTTTAGTTTTACATGTTTAATCACATCTCATGTTTTCATTTAGCTAGCGCATTATTAAGTTTTTCTGCATTATATAAATTTCAACCGGTATTTTTAGTAAATAAATTGTCTAGTTTTTTTTTTTATTTGTCCAGTAAACGTGCATACCTCCAAGAGGCTTAATCATGTTCGATGAACTTTCTAAATATCAACATTCTTTTTGACGCTTTCTCCAGTGTTTACTGTAAAAATATTGGTACGGGGATGCTCGGATGCGGCTTTGGAAATTTTGTATTGAAACCCGCACCTCGTGTTTAAGTTGTTGTATGGATTCCAGTTTCCTAAGTCAAGACATGATTTATTCATAACACAGCCATTTCCTTATATTTAGGTTAGCATTCATTACGAAACAAAACTGTGGATTGTTGTATGCAAACCATTTATTTCCCGTGAACAAATTGTATTCGTATTAATATTTAAGCAAAAATTGTATTTAAAGAAGATCTGTAAGAAACTCTATTGGGTTAAATATTGAAACTTAAGAAAAATTAAAAGCTGGAATTTTTTTAAGAGGGTTCGCAACAGCAGAGGTGGGGCCGGTGTTATTGAAAAAAAGCCCATTTGTAAGTATGTCGGGTTCGAACGCAGGGGCGCTGGTTTCGAACCCGGGACCTAAGCCTTACAGTGATGAGCACCGGGTCAACGCCTAAATCGTTGCGGCCACTCCCCCCCCCCCCAAAGCTGGATATTCTGAATACTTTTGTTTAAGCATCGCAAAATTGAGTTTAAGCCGGTCACAAGTTGTGAAGCTCAACAATTTATTTACCCTCCTCTGTGAATTGGTTGACAGAAAACCTATTCTGCTTCTTAACTCCAGCGTAAATTACGGAACGATATTAAAAATTAATATTATCGTTTATACATTTTCTGTAATGTGCGCCCACACGAAATTATTAAAAAACGGCGACATGAAAAACAGACACCACGTTCCGACGCTTGTGCCACAAACATTTCCGTTTGAATTTACAACATCTAAAAGGTTAATAAAAATACCGATATTACTTTCAGAACCACAAAAAAATATAACAGTATATAAATATAAATGTGGAAGGGAAAAAAAGAAAATTTAATTAAAGTAGAAAGAAAAACCATTGTATACTTAAAATGGTTTATAATAAATGTTCAAAATTATGTTGTTGTTTTTTTTATCAACACATATATACTTATTATGTAAATGAAAAATTCTAATGATTACATTAATAAGTTGGTTTGAATTCGAATACCACTTCGTGTGTGAAAAAATATGAATAATTATTATTTTATTATGGGTTATTTTAGACAGGTTTTGTCATAATAAACATTTATTGATTATTAATATGCAGTAAATTGCAAGTACCTACGCAGAATCGAGATTTACAATCGTTATTTTTCATTATCTCTCGCAAAAAAAATAATAATACAAAAACTTGAATGTACTAAATTAAAGAACATCACTTTGTTTTTTTTTTTGTGTTTTACTTCCCACCCCCTTGAAAAGGTTATACATAGTTTACAATTTTGAACCAAATATTTTATAGCCGTTATTTTACCTTTATTTTAAAGCACTATAAAAAACTTCAACGCACTGAGTTCACTTCGTTTAGTTACAAAGATTTGTCTAGTGAAGATAGTGATAGTGAAATGTGATGGAATGTACCTAATTTGGAATGCTATCATCGGATAACTTCTCCACTCTGATTGTTTTTGTTTTGTTTTCTTAATTTAATTTTTTTTTATTTCTTTACTTTTGCTTTTGGGGTTGTTATTGTGGAAGATTGTAATATTCAATTAATTAAAATTAAAAAAGTTTAAATGTACATAAGTTATTGCAGATTTTTTGTATGTATTTGACAATTAATTGACTTCATTTTGTCAGAAATGCAGACATACACCAGTATTGCGTGACAAGAAGGATGGGGTGTTGGAAATAACATTTTCCTATACACAGGCTGTCTGATGATTACGGCGATCTAAAATTAGTCCGGAAACCCTGCTGAAACAGATATCACGTGCAACATCGCAAATCTGCAGGTAAACGATTGAGAGATTTTAAAGAACAAAAATAAATAACACTATTTTTATTTTTCAAAACAAATTTTTTAATAATACATTTAACGTCAGTATTTTTATATTTTAAAGTAATTGAGGGTTTTATTTTTGTCTTGATTTATAGTTATTTTTAAAAAACTTTTTTTATTTTTAAACACAAATTGACATTGTCCATTTGTAAATATTGAGCGTGATTTTTTGACTGCATAAGATCGTACCTAGGGAGATATGAAACAAAGAAAATAAATCTTGTTGGAAAATATGATTTTCCCAGAGAATTCAATAGCTCTTCAATTTTCTTGCGTCAATCACATTTCCTATAAAGAAATATAATAAAGAGAAGGTAGATCGATGGTGGCAGCAACTGCCGTGAAGGATGCTGAAAAGGAAAACTGGGAATGGGCCCCGGGTCATGGCAGTTTGGCCTCTGGAATGAGGAAAGATGGTACAACGTGTTTGAACCACCTCAAGGATTGACAGCAACATTTCAACACCTTCCAGAAGTTCTCCCCGTCGCCCTCGTAACACGAACGGCATTTCTCCCATCTTCAATCGTGAAATTTGATCCGAAACACGAAATCGTAGTGCACTTTACGTAGTTAAAGTAGTAAAAGAAAATTAGAATCTAATGACATTAAATACTTTGTAAGAAATAGAATATTAATGACTGTAAGTGGGCTAAACAATAACGCATCCGATTCTCCAGTTAACAATTGTTTTTTAATAAACACGTACATTTGAAAGTTTATGGTTTTTCCAAAACTTGGCGATATTCGGTAAATCTTCTACCAAATTGTCCTTGTCCAGGGTATGACACGCCCGTCAAAGTGGCCGTCGAGAGGGATTCAGAAGACCACCTGTCAATTTTTGGTCAAGTGGACAATGGGAGGGGCACTCCGAACAGGACAACGATTGGGGTCAAAGGAGCAATATGGACTAATAGTTTCCTTCCCGGGACTAGCTCAGCTTGAATCGATTCTGTGATTTTACACCCGAAAATAAACACGGACAAACGCGTAACAGGAGGACAGCATTCATATTTATACATTGCCGACGTATATCACGTTTATACCTGATCATAATCTATTATTCTATTATTTCGTATATTGTTGCTATTATCCAAAACAAATTCCATTAATCGAATGACTTGAAAATGACTATTTTTTGACTTGTTCATACAGAAGTTCATTTTCTAAGCATTTCCAATCGATTTCAACATCATTGAACGAATTTGGTTTAAAACTATTGGATTGTCCGGATTATAATGCAGATTTATGGTTTTAAAATAAAAAACCATTAAATAAATTATTTTAAACATTTTTTATTAACTAAAATACCTTCTATCACTCTCAATACACTTTTCTCAACGTGATGGCAACTATTCTATAACCTCTGAATAGCGGAGAGTTGTGTAAAAGATTCGACCTTTTCGGATTGACAAAGATGGCTTCAATAATTCCATTTCTTCATTCATTGCTTCAATTTGAGAGAAATACATTTCTGAATTGATTGTTTTGCCAGGATTCAAATCAGTGTAGAAATGTGTGGTGATTAGTGACCGTTAATCGATATTTATTTAGAAATCATGAGATGCGGTCTGGTGTGATGTAGGTTTCAGAAAAACATTTTCTTTATCGTGCCAACGTTTCGATCTTTATTGAGATCATCTTCAGGGCTCAAAGTGTTTGTCTTCTGTGAAATTGTGTCATTCTTGCGTGTCGTGTGCCCATCACTAGGGCAAATCCGTTCAATGATGTTGAAATCGATTGGAAATGCTTAGAAAATAAACTGTTATATGAACAAGTCAAAAAGTAGTCATTTTCAAGTCATTAGATTAATGGAATTTGTTTTGGATAATAGAAACAATATACGAAAGATGATCTCAATAAAGATCGAAACGTTGGCACGATAAAGAAAATGTTTTTCTGAAACCTACATCACACCAGACCGCATCTCACGATTTCTAAATACAATAAATTCAAATCAGTCCTAATGAAGTGCACCAAAGAGTCGCCATCACTATTTTTTTGATAGTCGTGGGCTTTAGAAAATGTGGTTCTGAAGAACGTCTTCTGTTATCGTAGAGAATTTACTTTTTGTCATAAAAAACAACTGTATCCAGAAAAGGATCGTTTCTGTTTCGGCAAAAACGTGTTGCGCAAATATCATAAGAATGATTTTTTTGACGGTCGTTTAACGCATGAGGTACCCAACTTTCGAGTTGTTTCACCTTTCGAATTGCCTTAAAGTGGTCAGCAAACGGCCGATTAGTTTACTGCAAGATTTTCTGCAGTTCTCGAACAGTTGTTCTGGAATTTTTATCGACAAACGCTTGCAGAACATCATCTTCTTGGGAAGAAATCCTTACACGACCTTCTGTTTCTTCAAGGCTAAATCACCCTTTCGAAATTTTTTAATCTACCTCTGAACGGTGTTCTCAGTCTAACTGCCAACGCCCCAGATTTCATGAATGTTCCTGGCCGTTTCATCACCGTTCCGACCGAGTTTATACAAGTTAAACGAAATTACGCGAAAATCACTCGTTAGCATCTCAGTAAAGACTGAATTATTCCCAAGTAACGAAATGCTACAGGTAGATTTTTGTTTGGAAGGATTAAAAAGTGTTGAATATCCCATCAAACGTCAACAGTTTATTATACAGGATGTCTATTTTAGATCGCCCGGCTGAATTTCCCTTGAACCATTGACGCTATAAAAAATACGAGGTTAATGTTGTTGTTTTTTTGTCTACTTTCAAATTTTTACCCTTTCTTTGTAGAAAAATTATACAGAGTATCTCAGGCCTTTAAAATTTCAAATACGACCCTACACACCCTGATACATTATTTTTGGATATTTTACGCTGAAAACAATGGTGCAATCGGATTTTAAATTGGTCAAAAAATGACAGTTATGGCAAAAATATTTAAAAAAAGACATTTGGTTTGCTATTTATTAATCAAATTTCATGTTCGAACTGCCTGCCTTGCGTAAAGATGCAAAGATTTGCACTTTTTAACCACTCTTCATCGGTGCTCAGAACGATGGAGTCAGGGGAGATGGACAAGCATTTTCAATCCTTTGCCGCAACTGAGGTTGCTGGGTTATTGGCGTAGATACTGTTTTTTAAACGGCCTCACAGAAAATAGACAAGTGGAGTTAAGTCAGGTGACCGAGGAGGATAATAGATTGGACCATGGGGTCCTATCCACCTATCCCGGAAGTGACGATTCAAATAATACCTCAACTGCAAAGAATTGTGTGCGGGGCATCCTTCAAACTCATCAAATCATTCTTTGTCGTTGTTGCAGAGGAACATCATCTAATATTGTTGGGAAACCCTCCCTCAAAAATTGAGGTTCTGAGAACCATTTAAATTATTTTCGTAGAAATAAGGCCCAATTAATTTATTTCCGACAAGCACACACGAAACGTTGATACTGTGGACCATCTGATGATGATAAGAGTACGAAATTCTCGGATTTTCCTCTGCCCACGTTCGCAAATTCCAACGGTTTGGTATGCCATTAGAGGTGAACTTGGATCATCAGCCCATAGTATGTATGGGAGAACTATTATTCAGAAATCGTGAGATGCGGTCTGGTGAGATTAACCATCTCACGATTTCTGAATAATTATCGATTAACCCTTAAACCCCATCGAATATTTATGAGATAACCCCAAAAGACGAATAAGAGCACATCCATCACTTCCTGATAATTCCACGACCTTGAAAGGACTCTTCGTGAAGAATGGGCTAACATCCAGCAAAAAGACATTTCCAGCCTGGTAGAAAGTAGGCCGACACGTCTTCGAGATGTAATTAAGGCAAGAGGAGGAAATACGCGATATTGAAATGTTAATTAATAATCTAAAACAAAATTAAAATTTCATCTGTATTTTTCATTTTTCCTTAGCAATTTACACTTTTTTTACTTTTTTGGACAAAGACTAACGTTTAATAATACGATAAAAAACGTGAAACTTTGATTAATACATAAAAATATATACAAATCAAGTTATATTACAAGTGGGCGGAATTTTTTTCCTGTCAATGTATTTAACAAATAAGAAGGTTTATGTGAGTGTTAGTAGTAAATATATTATTTTATCACCAGATTGGACGTTAAATAAACTTTTATTCTGAGTTTATAATAAAATAAATGATTATGACATATGATGAATTATTATGGTCAAATTTAGTTGAAGTTTAAGCTGTTGCTCACGTAAAGCGTCATCTGGAGCAATATTAAGCTGTGCATTTATCTATCTGATGGTTGTTCTGATACAGCTATCAAAAACGGAAAGCGCATTGTTCCAGTGAACATCGAGGAGCGTTCATCTGATAGCCGGGGATCCCGTTCTACTTTCTGCTCGGACCAGGCTCGTCACCGGCCATGGGAAGTATTGCTCAACAGCCCCTGTTTCACATCGTGTCGTTCATTGATCGGTAAACAAACATAAAAACATTGGGGGGATTATGGATCCTTTATTCCCGAATCATCTATCTTTATGTACAATACTTAGATTTGATTCATTTCTTTGGTCGGAAGGAGCGGCGATCAATTTTTATTGTGTTTTTTTTTCTCAGATACGAGTTATGAATTAAATGCGTTTTAAATACTCTTTCTATTATGATTTATGCAGACGGGGGCTGAAATCCGCTTGATAAAAAGTGAAACAGTGAAAACAGATTGAGGCACCCGAGCTGACATGTATCTTTATATATTTATTGCTGCGTGTCATCAATGATTAAAATTATTCTGACATCAATTTTCTGAAACAAGAATGTCGTCAATAAATCTTAAACGAGCTCTTTCTTTTGTTCCTTCTCCTTTCGAAAAAAAGTGTGTTACAATGTTTAATACGCAATTTTTTATATTTTTGAAAACCTCTCACTAAAAGTTTTCAATGTGGCTGTTTGTCCTTTAATTAATTGTCACCCATTAAGTGTGATTTGTTGCGCGTGATAAGTATGGAAG